CTCAAGCTGCGGTTACAGTACAATCGCAGAGTGGAGAGATGGAAGACATGCTTAGAGAGGAAAAGAGAGAGCGAGCACCCTGACTGCCTGACCTGACTTGGTTATGTAAACAAAATAAGAGTAGCAAAAGCAGCAGCAGTGAACAACAGGGTACATCGCCTAATGAGCAATGGCATGAATGGGTCAACAGCGTGTGCAAGCGAGTGTGTGTTTTAAATGACCTGTTTGCTTTTACCATATTTGATTTTAATTGGACATGTTTACAAGTGTGTCCTCCAAATTAAAAAGGCAACCATGACAGTATGTTTATCCTTCTCTCCTTCATCCTTCTTTCCATTCTTTCTTCCCTATCCTGTCTCCTGTCCTTATCAGCTCCTCTTACTCTCGATAAACATCTTTCTTCTGTACTTGCTCTTCACTGTTTCATGACCTCTTTACATATCTGACATCAATAAAGATGCCAGGATAAGAAAGGAACATCCAGTCATAAAGAATATACCTAAGCTGTAAGCACCCATCTGCCTTGTGTTTAGGGAAAAACTGATTAAAAATTTCTGTTTTAAAACCATGGGAATTTCTTTTGATGGATGCACAGGTGTCTGCAAACAAATGTGATTGGATGTTGATGTTATTCTCTTACACTATCTTGCAAGTTAAGTTTGCATTTTTCATTGTTTTTCAGTTCGGTTCTTTCTCTTCCCTGAAGTAGTTAGCAATCATTGTTTTCTAGAAATGGCATTCTAAAATACCAGAGAAAAAGCCGCCCACTAGGCAAAAAAGACGTTTTTAATCTTTTTAAAAAATTATTAGGAATAAAAATAAATAAATAAATGGTAGCGAAATACTTTTTAAGAGGGGTTCCAGAAATTAATCATAAGCAGTCAATATTTCACCTTTATTGTTGCCATATGCTACTTGCACCATCACAGCTGCAGTGAGGCACACCGACCTGCAAGCTGTTTTAATGATTTCACACAATCTACTCCACAAATGCAGTTATTAGTGACATATATCACTAAATAAAGTTAATTCTATATAAAGAGGAGATGCAAAGGGACAGGGGGAAGATAGAGATAACCTCATACTCCCTACCCTGAACCTAATTTAATAAACAATTCAGAGACATCAGAACCCCACAAGAAAGTAAAAGATTCCTCCGAGCCTTATTGTGATATTTTATGCAAGCCTGAGGCATTAAAAAGTGCAAAGTGCACAATACAATTAAATAAATAAAATCTTTTTCTCTTCTCATTGCGACACACTACTATGCCCCTTTTCCTTCATTCTTTGTCTTTATTTTCCTCCATCCCAGTTCCAGCTATTCTCATAACGGCGCGTAGATAAACTGAACAGATAAACCCCACCAACGCCAAATGTTTACAATTAAACTACACAAAAACAAACAATATTTTTAATTGCTAAGATTCTTCCAAAAAATGTGTGATGTGAAAGAAAACTCTATTTTCAGGCACTTCAGCTCCATCAGTGAGCATATCTTTATATTTATTTCACTGTGCTTCTCTCCCCTTTTCTCATGTGCTTCTCTGTTGAGAAAGGCAAACAGTAACCAAACTAAATTTATCTTTTACCTCATTAATTTTCTTGCTTAACATGAAGCAGTTAATATAAATATATTAGGAGAAACAGGGGATTGCTTATTTGGTTAGACAACGATTGTATTACATCAAATATCACTTAATTGATTTAAGTGCTTCCGTTACCTGATATTTGCTTTCACCCACAATTGTTTGCATGATGTATAGGTACAGAGTACCTTGTGGAAATGGATAAAACTAGATATTTGCCTCACAGATGCCTACATACCTTCACATCTGTTTTTTTGTAAAGCCATTCAATCCATTGGAGTGACTTGTATATAATTTGTAGTTGTTTTTTTGGAAGGCTTTAGTCCCAATGTGACAAAGATTATCTATCTGTGTTTCCGTTGTGTAATAATGTCCAAAAAGCTGAAGGGTGTTCAAAATTAGCAGAACAGTTAATGCTTCCTTTCCTATCCATGATAGTGTTCTTTTTATTCACCCCAAAAAAGGTAAAGAAACAGGAGCGACGAGCTCCATTTTGTTGTATTCAGATCGAGTGTCAAGTCTTACTCGTTAAGTCAAAACTAAGCTTTGCTCTATGCCTTTAGAGGTGGTTAGTTCAGGTCCAGAAAGTAAAATCCTGCATAAAGATTAATTCTAACCATTTCAATATCCAACTCTGCAACACAGACTGGGAGCTAATCACCTGATAATGTGAACAGGATGAAGGAAAACAAGGCACGGTTTTCAAATTCTGGACTGGGATTACCCACCTCTGATTAAGTCTGATTCCCTTGTGTTCTCCATGTTCTAAGGCAGAGGTCTTCAACGTTTTCCAGGCCAAGGACCCCCAAACTGATGGCGAGATGGAGCGGGGACCCCCTTATTATATATATTTCATGAAATGGTGTTATATCAAACTGGTCCTACTGTATAGTCCCTCTATTACAGAAGGAGTAATGTAACGAAAGTAATTTCTCCCTGGGATTAATAAAGTATTTCTGAATCCTGGTTGATGGGACAGGTGTTGTGAATGAAACGGTGCCCAGCTTGAAAGATCTCCTGTGTGTCGCTAAATGTGTGTATTGATGACCGAAAGACATCTTCTGCCGCCATTTATCTGTTTAATACAGTGTGTTGAATTCATGTTGATGTGGATTTAAAGACATTTCAATTGGTGGGGAAAAAGTCTAATCAACCAAAACTTTCACGACCCCCATGCAGTACCTCCATGGACCCCCTAGGGGTCACAGACCCCCTGTTGAAGACCTCCGTTCTAAGGTTTAGACCTATTCATTCAACACTTTATACATTTAAAAATAAATTTGAATATTATTGAAAGCCTTAAAGGGGATTATTTAACAAGCTGTTAAAAAAGGTTCCTTTAGAGAGGAAGCTTTTTCTGTAGTGGTCTGATAGCCCTTTTCCACTGGCTGAAAAGCCCGTTTAAACCCAGGAACAATCGGATTTTAGTGGCAGTGGGCACAGCTCACTGATGCATCTAACCGGGTCAAACGACTAGGCAAGCGACACGTGTTAAAATCCTTTCGGCTCTGATCAGCATGCAGTGGCAACACCTAAACCGGGTTGACCCACTAAATTACTTGATACCATTAAACGCAACGTACAGACGTCAACACACCGTGCCATTTGCATCTGTTCTAATAAGCTGAAACAACTCAGTTTACATTCAATAAACATGGTGCAGCACTGGTGGGAGGAATTCGGAAAGATAAAAGAGTGAAACGTTAACGCCCACTTACTACTCCTTGTCTTCCTTACATGCTGCTCTCCATTGTTTACTTTCCTACTCACTGTTGCACTGGTGACCTCTTCAACGCTAACCCAGCATTATGCTTCACACGCAGCAGTGGGAGGACATTTGCCACGCAGCACGCCAGCGGGGGGTTAGACCAAGCTTTTTTTATGAATGGGAAACGAGCCAAATGCCGATTGTTAGCCTGTCGACCCGTGTTTAAAAATCCCGAGTTAATCCACTAATTTCAGTGGAAAGGAGGCTTTACAGTGGTTCTAGACAAGCTTCTGATTAGTGACATGCCCCCACTGTGCATGTCACTACAGTGGTTCACCAAATTTCTGTACTCAGTTTCTTGTCCATTGCTGGTACAACCAAAGTGATCCGATTATTTTTGCCGATGACAGCTATCTGTTATGTACTGAGAGTCGAAGTTGTACAGAATACAAAAAAAGACAGTGAGCGTACAGCCCTCTGGTGTGCTCCCATGCTGCTGACTACCTGGACAGTCTCACAATCTACTTGGGCCTCCTGAGTTTAGTCAGTTTGTCAACGCATCCTAGCATAATGACACACAAGCTTTAAACATCTCACAGAGCTCTTTTCATTCTGCTATTTAACAATAAAAAGACAATGACAGAATTTCTACCCGCTGGGGATCCAAGGCTAATAGGTGGGAGAATCTGTTGACTAGATGGCAATCTTTGTACAGTATAAAAACTCAAGAAGAAAGCCCTTGTTAAAGGAAAGATCTGGCCAGATGAGTCAACAAAAGTACTTTACTTAAACGAAAAGACTATTTGTGATTGTGAACTAACAGTGCACATAATCCTCAATCCAGTCTCCCTACAGCCAACTACAGTGAGGATATCATTATGCTCTGAGAGACAGAAAGACTGGTCAAAGGGACCAGCTTTCCTGGAGTTGAGTACAGAATAGTCTTAGACATCTTTCAGAGAACTGAGGCTAAACCATAAGTTACCGTCCAACAGGACAACAATCTGAATCAAACGTCTTCGTCATTATTTAAGCTTTTTTGAGATACCAGCTCAGAATGCAGGTATAAGTACAAACAAATAGAAAAGCCACAGAAAAATATACATCTTTATAAAAGACCGTCAAGAATATAAAAACTCCATCAGAAGAAGAAAAAGTATGAAATATTAAACAACCTCTTTAATTCCTCAAAGAAAAATTAAATGCACAGGAAGATGATTTAAACATCAAATGAAAAAAAAATGGAAATGGAAATAATGTAGTACGGTATTTACATGAAGTTCAGCTTGTGCCAGAGCAGACTATGAAATGGGCTATTCGATTGTCAGCAGTGGTATTTATGTACCGGTATATGGGATCTTGTTTGTTTGTGTCCTAGGAGGGGTGTGGGTGTGTACTTAAACTTGCGGTGAAGTGAGGACATTTTTGTTGCATTTTACTAGTAAAGTGAGGATTTTGATCTCAACTGAGGACCTTTTACTGGTCCTCACCAGTCGGAGAAGCAGTACACTGCCCAGGTGGAGGGGATCTGAGGCAACTGCCTTTTTCTCCAAAAAGGATCCATTCAGAGCTACAATGGTGGATTAAACCATAGGTCTCTGAATGCTCCAGACATGTAAAGCAAAGCTTAGTTTTTATTGGGCTGTTTTGGCAAAGTGTCAGTCAGATCAAGCTGTTAAAGCAACACGAGAAGTAAGTAAACTCACCCCCATAGACGAAGTCATCTAGAGTGCAGTCTGAAGGCCCCACCAAATGGATCAGGCTAGACTGGCTGAAGCCAACTGTGTACCTTTCTGCAGTGTGAACACACAAACATAAATCTTATCACAAACTGAATTACTGATCTACAAACAAATATAAAAAACACAATAAAATGTAACTCCCAAAGACTCTCACAAATAGCTTAAAATTAGGCATTGTGTCAAGATAAAAAATTTATTTGCTAGAACTCTCAGAGAACTATTATTTACTTGAAGAAAAAAAAACTATTCTGGATTGTCCTTAAGTGTGAGAAATTTGTGTCATTTCAACACTAAACTACAAGTTCTAAGGAAATAAAGGAGGGAAATCTTAATATCAACTTTAAACACATCCTTTGAAACCACAATTGATTCTAAAGCATGAATAAAATTATAAGAATGCCTTCTAAAATATTAGCATGTGATTAATATAAGGAAATGCAGTATACTGTCCAAAGCTCTTTATACATACCAAACACTCGCCATCTTCAAACTACCAATGTAAATCAGCCTCATGACTAGATTTAATATTTTAATAGTGTAAAAACATTGAGGCATTGTGGTGGTATGAGTGTGGGGGAAGTGAGTCTGCTATAAGACAGACACTCCTGCCAAATCTAATGCTGTGTCTTGTTGGGCTTTTACCAAAGTGCTTTATATTCACAAAAAAAGCATACAGTTATTGTTGATGCTGGCTGGACAGCCAATAATGTTAGTTATGATGTCCATTCTATTTGGTTATGTATAACTTTAATTTCTGAGGTTATAGTATTTGAAAAATTAAGGAATTTCCTTAATGAGAACACCATATTAAGAGGTTATGTTAAAATATTTGCTGTACATACTGTTTTTTTTTGTTTGTTTTGTTTTTTTTGTTCAGTATGAATACTTAAAATGTATAATGAACATAATTTATGAAATTATATTTATAATAATAATTTATTTAGTGTTAAAAAAAACAACAAAAAAACAATTGTTTTAACCAACACTGTTAAACATAGTATATAGTTTGCTTACCTTTGGGTGTGTCCTCTATGCTCAGCAAAAATGAGAATGGTGCAATATTTTAAATCAGTCGCACAAATAGAAAATATTAATTTGCATTGCACACATAAAGAATAAAACTGTTAAAAGAGCATCTGTTACTGAGACCTTTAAAAGAATATTTCAGTGCCCCTTCCCTTCATTTTTCTTATCTTTGTTTTCTTTTCTAATAATAAAGATTAAAAAAAACTGATCACAAAGTATAAACAGTTCACCATATTTTCTCATGTTTATCTATTTCACAATACAGATGCAGTGGAGAGTATTACAAGTAACTTGGGAAAGGAAGTGACAGAAACATAAGCAGAACACTGTTTTCCATAACATTTTTTTTATCTTACCATAATTGAAAACACTGATCAAAAATGTTGTATTTACTGAATATCAGCAGAGGAACTATATGGTATTTCTAAGTTGTAATATAATACTTGATTAATACCCCTTTCATATCTAACAAGTCAATACTTTTTTAAATACAACTTCCCACAGTTCTCAGTACTTTATGCTGATATCACAATACCAAAGTTCATAATTAACTTAGCTGGAAGAAAGAAAGAAGGAAAGAAAGAAAATGTACGAATGGTGGAAAAAAACAAGACAATTAAGAGATAAAGTAGGAGAGGATGGACTCAGGGAAAAAAGGAAAGAATATCAGCAAACAGGAATGGATACAGGACACAAGGAACGGCTAACATTTCCAGAAACATTTTTTAAAAAATGTGTGTTTGAAATAGTATATTTCAATATTCTTCTATTTAAATATTGAAGATAATCAAATTAAATTGTAGATTTTTTCCAGACTTTGTTTGAAATTCAGATGTATAAGTTTGAACAAGTAGACAGCTGCACAGTACCTGGATTTGGTGGAGGTGGCATTGCCTCCTCAAGCCTTGCTTTGGTCTCCAATCTCTCAATTTTCTGTGATTCATAGCGCTTTCTGCCTTCTTCTTCCTGCTCTGGACTAGCGTACTACATACAACACAGAACACACACAGTAAAAACCAATGTACGCACTGCTGTATTCAAGTGTTATGTCTGCTTAAATTTAATCAAGATATAACAAAAAACCACAAACATGTAACTATAATTGTTTCATTTGCATTTCTGGTGTAAACATCTTGAATAGCATAAACTGCAAAAACAAAACAGGCTTAAACTCAGATGCAAGTGAAATTTCAGGGAAAATCAGGGAGAAACTGTCAGAGAGAAGAAAAACTACCCACAGTGAAAACTAGCCTGTTTCAAAACAGATTTGTTTTTTAGTCACTTGTTTGGTCAGTAGGCCTACTTGATATTTTAGAAATGTTTTTTTTTTTTATTTTCAGGATTATATTATTGAGCAAGTTGTCTTTTGTCACTGGTAGAGGATTGTGGACCGAACCTTTAGAAACTAATCTGACCAAACGAATTACTTGGTCCAGGCTCAAAATAGATGCTACAAGAAAGTCAATAGTTTGTGAAAACAAACACAAATTTGATTTTAATATGCCGTTAAGAAGACATTAACCACATTATACAAAATAACTCATTTCTCAACCTCTGAATGTTTAACTTACTGTAAACAGTGACCATTATAACACTGATGGGTTGAAAAATTATTGATAAAAACAAACACCTTTTTCATGTAAAGGTGAAAGTTTTAAACTACAAAATCTTTAATGAGGTCTGAGAAGAGATTTTTCTCTGAATGGTGCCTGTTCTGTGTTACTGTGGGCTGTGCTTCTCTCTAAACCCTCACTATTTAAGATAAACCCGCCGCTGCTAGAGTCACGATAATTACTTCTCCTTACTATATAACAAAACCCCAGTTTGTAAGTCTTAAACAATACCTGTAAGCTGATAGCCAGAGACTTTAACATACCTCAATAGGAGGCACCTCTGTGATCTTGTCAACATTCTGCAGAGAACAGGGGACGTACCACAGCGCCGCCTTGTTGGCCAGCTTTTTTTCACCTGCAGTAACGAAAACAGACTCAATTCTAGTTCAGCTTTGTCAAAATGGCAGTTTCCAGCTAATTTGCCTGTCAAACTCTTTGGAAGCATTTTATCAGCTAAAGAAAATGCAGCAAAGTACCATCTTAATGCAAAGCATCAATCAACAGCTTAAAAGTTAATGTTTTGCTGCAAATATAAACACAAATGCAGACTCAACTGAAAGATTATGTATTTTGTCCATTCAGTACTGAAATTGAAATGTAGTCAGCATGGTTGGTTTTGCAACATTTAATCTTATATTTATAGAATAAATTAAATACTTTAACATCTCACTGTGAATTCTCTCATGAAATAAAACAAGCCCCCAAGCATGAATGCAGCAGTTCCAGTTCTGCATCCGTGCCTTAAGTTAGGCTAAGAAACTCACTGGGATCGCACATCATCGCAATCAGGCGTCGAGGTTGTCATAGCGATTTTTCCCTTTGTACCACACTTTGTCACTTAATTTACAAACTGAGAGAGGGGCTATTTTAAGGTGGTTGAATTGTGACACACATGAGCACAGGAGTTATATGAAAGTGTGGAGCTTTGATTCAGAATGAAAAAGTACTTCTTCAAATGTACAAAAGAATAAAAATAAACCCAGCTGCAAAACAAACTATTTTATAGCAGATTTTAAAATATGATTAGTCTTATTCAGAATACTTAAAAACCTGTGTATAATTGGAAGAACACCTTAATAAAACATCAGAAGCCCAAATAATAATAAGGGAAATTAAGTAGCTGAGAAACAAAGCACTAGATCTTCCAGAGCAAATAAAATTTGAATAATTTTATTTTGCCTCCAAGTTTTACTCTTGAGATTGAGATCATTGCATGAGAATGTTACATTTAATTAAAGGCTCGTGATCTTAACAGGGATCTGACTAAAAAGCCAATAGATTAAAGATAAATTAATGTGTTGGAAAATGAGCTTTCTGGAGAATGAGATGGTCATGTATGGTCATAATTTTGGTGGTTTGTGCTAATTAGATAGCATATCGAATCACAACTGTGTATGCAATATGAAAATAGTAGAGGGCTGGATGAAATGTTTTGCAGGTTTTTATTAATGCAATCAGGCTCATGTATGAATATATATATATACATATAAAATCAGTAGATGTAGGTTTATATTGGCCTGTTAACAGATCCAAAGTCTTAAAGAGAGAGTTTGTGATTTCACAGGAAAATATCTATAAAATAGCCTTTTTGTTGATCCTTTAAGACTAAAACATTGTTTGATGAGCAGACTGACACCTCAGTGGTACAGCACCGATGCATCTTTAGGCCTGTAACCTATTTTGCTTATTTATTATTTATTTACCATGTTAAATGAGTCCAACCTAGAATAAAAAGATGGATTGACCAGGATACTCAAAAAGTGACTGGGATCCAGTCAGAAAACAAATGCAATGCCAGGTAAGAAAAAAAAAAAAAAAGCATAAGAGTGCTGCAGTTCAATGTTTTTGCCACAAACACAAAACACTGTAATGCTGCTTTAAAGGAGAAGTCCGGTCAGCAAGGAATAATCAATGGATCATTATTTATACCTGAAACTAATACGTTCAAGGTGATTAAATGAATTTAGCGTTAATCAGTAAAAAAATAAAAACAATTTTTTCCTCGATCACTGAGTTTGGGCACTGCCATTTCTGCCCAAATATATTAACACCTCACTCCTAACATCATCCGGCAGTGACGTCACAGCGCGGTAACTCGAAAACCATTCTCCCCTCTTTACACGCAAAATCATTGGGAACTACTAGACCCATCTCCAATCAACAACAATTATTTAAGATTTCGAGAGGACTTGACCATTGAAATTCATGAAAGCTATTGTTACAGTGACAATGCCCACATGCATGGCAGTTTGATGTTGTAATACATTCGGTAAAATTGAAAAAAAAATTTGTTATTTCACCTTTACATGATCCACCACAGACAGGTTCATCGTTGGATTACCAACTTGAAGAGGGAGGATTTGCCATCAAACTTCCGGCTAGAGAAAAAACATGTAATATGTAGCCAACATTTTGAAGGAGAATATTTTTCAAGATGACTTGGATAAAAGCGCATTGTCACAAACTCCAGATACAGCATTGGGACTGGATCAACAGCCGATACCGCACCGTGACGTCACAAACTGATAGGTGGCAGTAGTGTTCTTTGACGAACATGGATGCAGTAAAGCACATTCAAATGAAATTACTCTTAATTAAAAACACGTATCACTAATTGAACAATATGTAATAATTTAATATATAAAGTACTTTTAGAAGTTTGTATTCTGAATGTGACCAGACTTCTCCTTTAAATGCTACGCTTTTAAAGAACTAAAGTTTTTACTCATACAGCTTTTGCATTTTAAAGTCAAATGCCAGAGAACATGCAAAGCTTCCCATAGATTCTTAATAAAGTTGCCACTATTGACTTTGAATGCTTGTGTTTCTCTATAAAGAAGAAACAGCAAAAAAGTTTAAAATTTAGCCAACTAACAATTACTTGGAAACTCCTTCAAAAGTCTCCTGTAAAAGTTTGTTCTGTATTTTTGTTTGAGTATATTTAAAAATAAATAAAATTACACCCCATGATGTATAAAAGCATTTAGTTTTTACTATACAGTTTTTTATGTTGGTTTGTATACCTTTGTCCTATTGAATACATTATTGTTATTACACAGTGAGAAGTCGATACCACCTTTATGCAGTATATAAATTGTAATAAATAATCTACATGGTATAATAAAACAATCATGGCACAAGAGCAAAGATCTGACACAATCTCACACTATACACTTTGAAACAAACTTTAAATATCAGCCGAATTAACCCTCTATGCCAGAGTAAGAGCTTCAATAGGATTCTCACAAAGAAATCGAGGATGACTTCCCCTATCATATGTTTGGTTGTTTAGAACAAAGCTGATGACTTAATTATAAAGTATCTATAAAACCTTTAAAAGGTTTGTTTTAATATAAAGTGGTTCAGCACTCCACACAGATCCTAGCAAAGTATGTCTAAGAAAAAGAGAAACTAACCTGAAAAGAATCAGGAGATGTTTATAATATCATTTGTGTTTATTTGTATAGTATACCCATGATTAGCTTTAGCCTTAGAAAAACAGGCTCTTGGGAATGGAGTAGCGTGCAGGCCTGTGCTTGTATTGTAAAATGAAGATAAAGCTTAGTGGGCATCTGGGTCTCGTTGCCATGCCCACCATGATCTCTCCCACTCCTTATCCCATTGGCTCCAACCCCAGCCAACAACCAGGACGTTGTCCACATGAAGGAGAGAGGCATATTTACATATCCTCGACTTGACCAGGACTGAGCAGCATCTGTCTATTATTAGCTCCAGCAGGAAGTTTGAAGTGAATTGTGTCTGGAATCGAAGAAGGGAGAAGCACCGGAATGAAGCATTCCCAAAAACGACGATTGATGAACTTTTGCGACCAGAAAGGAGTCAGGAAACTGGCTTTGAATGTTCAGTCCCTCAGCAGAACAAAAAGACAATGATGATGTGGTACTGTAGCATACCATTGATTTGATGCAATAAAACTGTACAGATTCCTCCTTGGTATGCCTGAAGATTATTTACAGCATTATGACATAAATATTTTTTATTCTATAGGCATAAGAAAACAGAACCTCTAAAAAACAACCATATAACAAACTAATCATCGCAGTGATTATGTTGTTTTTAAGAAAAGGGATCCTGGATGATCACTGGAAAATAAAATTAGTTCACTCATAAGAGATGGCAGACCAGACAGCTGGTATACTTACTTAGGATTACTAAATAATTTATAGATCTGATTTTGGCTGCTTCTCCCTGCAAGAACAGATGACACAAATCAGCTTGCTGAAATTTCCACTGACAGTGTCTTGGGTTTACAAGTTAATCAGGTCTTAAAAGAAGGAATCAGGTCAGTTTAGATCCATGAACAGAAAAGGTGCAGGAGAAAAATCACTATTTAACTTGTTAAGAGACAGTTTAGAATATTGTAGTAGGGATTTTTTTTTCTTTTTTTTTTTTTGGGGGGGGGGGGGGGG